AAAAAGGTCGGTTCGTTACCAACGGACCCCGGTATCTTGGCCAAAGCTGGCCGAATCCGGCGCCTAGAGCCATCGAATTACAGCTTTGCTGGTACCGGGCGAAATGATGACTGATTTCGTCTCCCTTCCCCCCTTCACAGATGGACCCTGTTGCCGGGTTAACAGATACCCGAACCTCTGCACCATCGGTCGATATCGCCCAGCTCGTCCGGACCGTCGACCCCACGAGTCAGGCGGCCCCATCGCCTCACAGCCTCCTGCTGCCCGGCCTCAATGTTCGGCTCTCCGAACAGCTAGTCCAGCTCGGCCGAGTTCCGGTGGCTGCCAGGTCTCGTCGCCTCGTCCATATCACCAATCTGGCCTCATCTACTTCACCCACTATCTACCAATTGGCCTGGAGACACCGCAACGTTGAGGACGTACAGGTTTGTTACCACCCACTCATTGCCATCAGCAAGAAGTACAACCATTCCCGCTTCCCAGGTCTGCTACAATCCTCCTTCCAGAACCAGAAATAAATTAACGTAGCCCGGCCTCGTAATTGTATGAGGTGGTATCAATGTATACTAACATTCCAGTTCAGAAGAATATTCAATAAAAGCATTCAACCTAAATGAACATCCAGATATTATTAGGTAAATATGATTACAAGCTCAATCTTACACTACTTAATCAATCCATGAGTAGCACATACCTCAACTTTAGCGGTTTAGAGTTCCAGTCACCCTAGGTCGAATAAGGTGACGAAAGCATGGTAGTCTCATTTTCCTAAAATAAGGTTATTAAAACTTATAAAATCGAAGACTTTAACTTATTCAAAATCTACTTCAAATATCGAAAACGAATGAAAACGGGCTTAACTTTTGTCCATCATATGATGGACATCATCAGAGCTGGAGCTCATTCTTGTAAAAGTTTCACGTTGACACGAGGTCAAGAAGACCATCCGACTCTATCTTACCTCAACACTTTCTCTATCCTTGAATCTATCAATTAAGCATAAGTCGTTTTTAAATCGTAGATATAAACACACCATAAGTAGTTTTTACTTAACTTC